AATCTTTGGCGGCTCAGGTCAGGGGGTCAGTGATCGATCCCTCCCCTGCAATCTTGGAAAAAAAATCTTTGACGGCTCCAGGTCCGGGGTCAGTGATCGATCCATCTTCCACAATCTTGAAAAAAAGCACAAGGAAAAAAATCTTTGGCGGCTCAGGTCGAGGGTCAGTGATCGATCCATCTTCCACAATCTTGAAAAGAAACACAAAAAAAAAAATCTTTGACAGCTCAGGCCGGGGGTCAGTGATCGATCCATCCCCGCAATCTTGGAAAAAAAATCTTTGTGGCTCAGGTCCGGGGGTCGTGATCGATCCATCTTCCACAATCTTGGAAAAAAAAAATCTTTGGCAATCAGTTAGAGGTCGTGATCGATCCATCTTCACAAAAACACTTGAAAAGAAACACAAAAAAAAAAAATCTTTGACGAGGCCGAACAGGCCGGAATCAGTGATCGATCCATCCCCGCAATCTTGGAAAAAAAAAAATCTTTGTGCTCAGGTCGGGGTCAGTGATCGACCATCCCCTGCAATCTTGGAAAAATCTTTGAAAAAAAGTCCGATTAATGATCGATCATCCCAGCAATCTTGGAAAAAAAATCTTTGACGGCTCAGGTCCGGGGTCAGTGATCGATCCATCTTACGTCAGCGGAAAAAAAAATCTTTGACGGCTCAGATTCAGAGTCGTAGATAGAATCCATCTTCACAATCTTGAAAAAACACAAAAGGAAAAAATCTTTGGGCTCAGGCTCAGGGTCAGTTGATCGATCCATCTTCCCAATCTTGAAAAAGAGCACAAAAGAAAAAAATCTTGGTAAACTCAGGCCGGGGTCAGTGATCAGTCATCCCCGCGTCTTGAAAAAAATCTTTGACGGCTCAGGTCCGGGGTCAGTGATCGATCCATCCCTGTCTTGGACTTTGGCTGAATCTTCAAACAGCTTTGGAAAAAAAAAAAAAAAATCGGCTCAGGCGGGGTCAGTAATGATCCATCTTCCACAATCTTATGGAAAAAATCTTTGACGGCTCAGGTCGGGGTCAGTGATCGATCATCCTACAATCTTGAAAAAAAATCACAAAGGAAAAAAATCTTTGACGGCTCAGGTCCGGTCAGTGATCGATCCATCTACAATCTGAAACAAAGACTTTGAAAAGAAATCTTTGGCGAAACCAGGTCCGAGTCGTGATCGATCCATCTTCCACAATGAAAAAGAGCTCAGGCCGGGGTCAGTGATCGTCCATACCGCAATCTTGGAAAAAAAAAAATCTTTGACAGCTCAGGTCAAGGGTCAGTGATCGATCCATCCCTGTCTTGGAAAAAAAAATCTTTGACGGCTCAGGTCGGGGGTCAGTGATCGATCCATCTTTACAATCTTGAAAAGAAACACAAAAGGAAAAATCCATCTTCCACAATCTTGAAAAAACAAGAAAAAAAATCTTTGTTCGGGGTCTCAGGCGAGAAAAAAAAACTTTGGCGCTCAGTGGGGTCAGTGATCGATCCATCCCCACAATCTTGGAAAAAAAAAATCTTTGACAGCTCAGGTCCGGGGGGTCAGTGATCGATCCATCTTCCACAATCTTGAAAAAACACAAAAATCTTTGAAACCAGGTCCGAGAAGTTGAAGTGATCGATCCATGCTTCCACAATCTTGAAAAAACTGGAAAAATCTTTGGGCGACCAGGTCCGGGGTCAGTCAGTGATGCTGGCAAAACGATCCATCCCCATAATCTTGAAAAAAAATCTTTGTGGCTCAGGTCAGGGTCAAGTGATCAGTGATCCATCCCCAACTAATCTTGGAAAAAAAATCTGACTGCAGGTCAGGGGTCAGTGATCGATCCATCTTCCACAATCTTGAAAAAACACAAAAGGAAAAAAAAATCTTTGGCGGCTCAGGTCGGGGTCGTGTCGATCCATACACATCTTCAAAGAAAAAAAATCTTTGGCTCAGGCCATCAAGTGGTAGATCCCATCGCATCTTGGAAAAAAAAAAAATCTTTGGCAAAATGATCAGGGGTCAGTGATGAGATCCCCTACCAATCTTGGAAAAAAAATCTTTGACGGCTCCAGGTCCGGGGTCAGTGATCGATCCATCCCCAACATCTTGAAAAAAAAAATCTTTGACGGCTCAGGTCTGGGGTCAGTGATCAGTCCATCTTCCACGAAAATCTTGAAAAACACAAAGCTTTGATGGCTCAGGTCAGAGTGTTGATCCATCCCAGCAATCTTGGAAAAAAATCTTTGGCGGCTCCAGGTCGAGGGGTCAGTGATCGATCCATCTTTGCAATCTTGAAAAAGAAACACAAAGAAAAAAAAACTTTGATGGCTCAGGTCCGGGGGTCAGTGATCGATCCATCCCCAGCAATCTTGGAAAAAAAAATCTTTGACGGCTCAGGTCCGGGGGTCAGTGATCGATCCATCTTCCACAATCTTGAAAAGAAACACAAAGAAAAAAAAACTTTGATGGCTCAGGTCCGGGGGTCAGTGATCGATCCATCCCCCGCAATCTTGGAAAAAAAAATCTTTGACGGCACAGGTCCGGGGGTCAGTGATCGATCCATCTTCCACAATCTTGAAAAGAAACACAAAGAAAAAAAAACTTTGATGGCGCAGTGGTCTTCTTTTGTTACGGGGAAAGGGTCGGGGGGGGGGGTGATATTATGCTGACTAATAATAATAATAATAATAATAATAAAGCAACACAAATAAACAAATAACAAATAAATTAACTTCGAGAAACCATTGATATGTACAGTATGTTGTGTTGTCAAAGTAGGAGAAACAATATTGAGATCCTGTAATTGTGTGTAAATGAGGCAGATTGTCAGATGAGCAACCTGGGACTTGGTCACAATTTGTGTGATGCCATATGGCAGCAGGGTCTACCATTAGGCAAAACGTTATGCTTTCAATATCTTTCCACGTGGTAGTACCTCCATGCTTGATTATGTAATAATAATAGTAAAAATAATAATAATAATAATAATAATAATAATAATAATAATAATTATTATTATTATTATTATTAAACCCGATTACCTATCCGATAAAAATTGATAAAATTTAACCTGACTTTCTCAGATTAAGTTAGGATGGGTTAGGTTAGGATAGGCTAGGCTAGGTTATAACACGCAAACACACACGAGGATTGCTCCAGCATCATTCAAGCAGTTCATGCTTTACTCCATCACCTTGACATGCTAGTCCACCCAAGGGTTTGTTCCACCTTCATTCAGCAGCGAGTGGGTTACTCCACTACCTTGACAGGATGCTAGAACAGATTGTCATGTTAACTAACCAACACTGACGCCTGTTCAGGTACTTTCCATAGTCTGCATGTGTCCAGTACTTGTTAATATCGCACGGTGTAACGGAAAAATGACCAATCGCCCGATCTGCTAAAGCCGAGCAATGACGAAGGGGATAAAGTAAAGCACCAAAAAACACTTATGAATAAGTACTGTGCAAATAAAATCCACACAATGATTATAATATAAGGCATAGCATCGGATGTAACCAAAATCATGTAAAATATGGTAAAACATAAAATAAAATACCTAAAAACTACAGCATTAAATATCATATTAGAAACAGTATGTTACTCTTTGCAACAAACCAATGTTATAACCTCCCAGCCTCTTTATCTTCTATGGAATATCAACTAGTACTGAATGCTCGCGTTAATTTAGATTCAAAGGAAACTAATTACAATATTACACTTCGAGTTCTACCAATCTTGATCGACGACATGTAAATTAATTATTATAGGTTAATGGTTCCCCAGGCAAGAACAATCAGCAATTCAGTAAGCTCTCCAAGCATAATGTTACTATAGTTACACGTTTTCTACGAAGAGAAATATAACAGAAAATTTATTATTTTAGGGATGACATTGATATTCTGTGTAGCAATTTTGCCTTTCGTCCAGATATTTTCTTTAACAGGGAAAGAAAATCGGGAACATGTTTAATCAGCCGTTTGATCATCGTTAATTTCTTCTTTGTTAATAATATGGGTAAAGGTGGATGAAACGGCATCACCCGAAGGAAGTTGTGGAATTACACCAAAATTTCTAGGGATGTTAGTTACAAGGTACTAGCCTAATCTAACCTACCTAACCCTACCTAACTTCCAAACCGGGAGCTCCGTGTTATGGAATTTAATCTCAATTATATGATGTTGATCCTGTATACGTAGAAGAGATTTTGGAAGATATTGCGTAAAAAGGACAACATATAAAGGCTTTGGACAGACATAGAGTAGGAAATCAGGAAAGTGTATCCTATAGAATAAAACACAAAAAAAATTTTTACTTAAACACAGTGCCTCCTACAGGATATTTAGGTTAAGTTCGTTTAGATTATGATAGGATAAGCTAGGTAAAGTTAGGTTAGGTCAGTTGAGTTGAGGTTATACTAAAGATATTTTGTAGACCGCACACTATGGTAGCACTGTGTAGTTTTAATGTTGCACACTTGCTCTTAAATATCGCGCAAAGTGTGTAATAAAACAATTAACAAATGTTTATATATGTGATAAAGTGAAAAATTCATTATTCCCAGAAGAATGTAATGCTGTATTATATATAGATTCATTACTGGAATTTTAAACGGTCGCTTTGATATGGAGTTTACGAAAACGTTCTTTTACCATATCCTTACTTATTTAATTAAGTATGTAAATTTAAGCAAAGCAATTTTATCTAACTTATTTTCCTCTCCTAAACATTAAAAATATTTTATACTTCTATTGACATAAAAAAGAATAAAAGGGACCAAAATAATCTTTATTGGTTTGATTTTATCTTAAAAGCACAAACTGGTGAGGTTCGCCATATTTGTTTTCATAAATATATGTTGACGGGACCTCATATGAGTACAATTTTAAATAAAACAATACATATAAAATAACTCAGGTATAAATACATTAAAATATTTATATACGAATCATAATTTCCAATCATTAAATATTTAAATTTGATGTAAAAGAATTCGACTATAGCGACTCATTTGTCTCTCTTCCCACAGTAGTGATCCCAAGATGGCTGAGTAACGACTGTTGGACCCTAGGGAGAGGAGTTGCCGTGTCTTATCAGGCAGTACATCCCCCACAAACAGGTATTAACCATTTATGTGACTTCATACACTAAAACAGTACATAGTGAAGGTGTTAATGGTCATAAATACGGTCATTAGTTACGATAAAACGGGAAAAATAGTGATGTCTCAAGTGGATGTTTTTATACTCCCTTCTTCTCACTATATCATTATCTTATGGTTAAAGACTATAGGGATGTTTTATTAATGCCAGTTGATGATATTGAAATGGTCTAGACTTATGGGTGGTATTGGTTTCTGTCATAGGTATATTTTAAGGCCTTGAGGTGGGATAAAGTGAGAAGTGAGGGAGATGAATAGGTGTGGGGTCTTGGCTACTCCTCTACACACACACACACATACACACACATACACACACACAGACTTACCTCACCTGGTCTTGGGTGTTTATCTGTTAAAAAAATCCCTTTAAATCTCAGTGTAAAATGATCTACCATAAACAGGAGTGAGAACCATTTATATTTTGGGCATCAAGAAATGACCCAAACTACCTCAGGATCTTTAGATATATTTTATAGCTGTTCTGTTAAATTATACAAGTTCACAGTAGTATGTAGAAGTTTATTTTACCAAGGATAAGTGAAGAAGGATGTTGGGTGGATATATGAGCGATAGGGGTTGGGTGTAAACGGGACTGCCTAGTATGGACCAATAGGCCTGCTGCAGTTTTCTCCATTCTTATGTTCTTAACACTTAGGTTTGGGTTTTTCTTCTTTATAGGAAACAGGTAGTAAATATTATGCCGTGACCAGCTATGTTCCTACTAATGCTATTTTACCGTCGATGTCTATTGGTACGGCAGCCTAATGCTCATGCGTGGTGGGCCGACTATACAGTGAGAGATACTAAGTTGGCCTTCTTTCTGACTAACCTAACCAAACCTATCGTACCCTATAACCTAACCTACCGTACCCTATAACCTAACCTACCGTACCCTATAACCAAACCTATCGTACCCTATAACCAAACCTACCGTACCCTATAACCAAACCTACCCCTATACCAAACCTACGTACCCTATAACCAAACCTACATACCCTATAACCAAACCTACCGTGCCCTATAACCACCAACCTACCATACCCTATAACCAAACCTATCGTACCCTATAACCAAACCTACCATACCCTATAACCAAACCTACCGTACCCTATAACCAAACCTACCATACCCTATATAACCAAACCTATCGTACCCTATAACCAAACCTACCATACCCTATAACCAAACCTACCGTACCCTATAACCAAACCTACCATACCCTATAACCAAACTATAAATACCCTATAACCAAACCTATCGTACCCTATAACCAAACCTATCGTACCCTATAACCAAACCTATCGTACCCTATAACCAAACCTATCGTACCCTATAACCAAACCTACCGTACCCTATAACCAAACCTACCATACCCTATAACCAAACCTACAGTACCCTATAACCTAACCTAACCAATAACAATACAGTCCAGCAATACGGCTGCTGTACCTATATCCAGTGGGATTTTTGGTGTATGACTGCCCTACCTGCTTCCACTACGTTTAAGTTATGCTTGTGGTGTTTTTAGTAATGCTATATTTTATGGATACCACTTTAATGTTTTGTTAATTTTGCACAATTTGTTTTTACAGGAAGTGTATTATGTAGTTATATTTTACAAACCTGGAACCCCCAGATGTGAACAAGGTCTTTTTCTAATGCCACATACTATGCACTCTCAGCAAATTAACAAGGGACCATTAATGAATTGAGTCTGACAAACCATTGAGCATTGCTAGTGTTCAGTGGCTTGTTCCTGCTAAAATCAAACATAGGTATTTCAGTTATGATTTGATTGGTGGTACAATTGTGGTCTGGTCTTAACACCAACTTGAGGAAAATTCACCGGAGAAGATGAAGGCTTTCTTACCCTGAGAAAAATAGTAAAAAATGGAGAAGAATACCTGTCATGTAATTCCATATTTATGGTATTTACAACTTTCCATCTCTGCAGAGCTCATCTCTGTTCACCATGTTTACCTTCTGATATTGAGGGTTGGTTCTTTTTGTAGTATTTTTTGAGAATCTAGTACAGTCTATAATTTATCGTTCTTAAAATGAAGAAAATGGTAAATATTCCATGGTGACCATTCATGGAACTTTATATTGATTCTTACGTAGGGCGATAGAGCAAAATAATAGAATACCTGGTACAGTACTGTACTGTATAGGGAAAATGTGGGGATAAAAGCATAACTAAAAGAACCTAACCTGGCCATTGTGCTCAGTTATTGTGGAGGAGGATAGGCACGGACGACCTAGAAGTTGTATAGGAAATGGGGTAGTAAGCTCGTGTTTGGGGATTAATAGTTGTACAGGTATTTGCAATTTTCATAATTTAGCTTTTCCCCAAGTTCATGTCATAATTAAAACAGTGGCTAATCTTACAGACAAAGTTTCTCATGTCTCTTGCGATGGCTTAGAAATTAAAGGCGTTTTAAGATGCACGGAATAGCTAACGTGTTAACTTTTCCGGACTGTCATTAAGGAATATAACATTGTACCACATCTTGGGAATAACTTGTACAACACAGTCTTCAGAAAACAATAAAATTAGGAGAACTGTTATTTGGACAAAATGCGGAAAGAAATAAGAAATAATGAAGAAAATATATAGAAAATTGTGGAAGGAAGACAAAAAAAGGAAAAAAAGTCAATCAGTCCACAATAAATAAGAATAAAAAAATCGTGCCCGTTGTAAAGGTAATTTCTCCCGTACTTCATCTTCTCTCGCGGCTAGGTGTTCGCATATTTGTGCAAGAAATGCGGTCCAATCCATTATACAACTGTATATAGAATTATTTGTATTATTATATCACAGTTTTTTTATTGCCTTACATGCCTCCAACTCTTCAATATTAATCAAAATATTCTCCATCAGTGCTTGGGCGCTGCACAAAGCTAATGCCTGATCGAGGCGTTAGCTTTTTCCTCTAAATGTGTCCTGCGCACAACTTCAAAGCAGCTTTTGCGCAAGCAGAATAGCTAACGCTTTAGCTATTCTGTGCATCGAAAACGCCTTACAATAAATACCTTAAGCTGGTTGCATTGTCTTTTGCTCAACTTTAGGTGAGGTTTCATGAGAATCATTCAATTCTCGGCCGTCGTGAGATTTGTCTGAACTGTACGTTAGACTTTGCCTACTGTATGCTCCGTTCACCCGAAGACATGTGTGGAACTTCAGCGGGTAACAAGTGCTTCTCAGCGAATTTTCCTTACCTAACCTAACCTAACCTAAAATAATGTAGCAAATTCTTCACATTTTTGGGGATATTCATGAGGCAAGGAAAAAGTTATGATATATTAAAACATTTTCTAGAGTTGCTGGTTTACCTGCATCCATGTTCCAGAGTACAATATCAACTAATAACATCTTGTGTAAAATTTGGAGAAAAACAAATTATGATGGTTCCCCAAAACAAGACATTGTTCTTGTACCAGTCTGTTATTACAACTTAATTTTAAAGGATCAGATATACTTCATGCTGTAATTCTTCCAGCTAATTATGATAAAGGTAACAGAGAAATGTTAGATAAACACTGACTTAATGAACTTCTTTCGGGTTTTTTCTTTAGGGTTTTCATTCAATGCTCTAATTTAATGCATATATAGATTCTAAATTTAGTTTGGCAGTTAGATTTTTTTTTTTTTTATTCTGCTTAGGAAATGACAAGTGGGATGTGGCTTTCACTATTTTGGCACTTAAGTAAATTGACAAAAACTATTACTGAATTATGCAGGATGTTAGTAGCAACCAACTACTGAGAAATATATGTTGAAATTTAGCTGCATTTATTGTTTTTTCTTTTTCCTGCTCAGGCAGTATCAGATACAGCTCCTCCCCGACTTACGACCTACTCGACTTACGACCGCCCAGTCGTACCAAAATTGTCGAATTACGTATTTTTTAGTCCCAACGTCAGTGATTGCGCTGTGTACTGACAAAATTTTTGTTTGTAATTCACTTTAAAATGGCTGGTAAGCTTAAAAGTGAGAGTTTTGTGGTGCTGAGAAGAAAAAGAGACACCCATTTTAGATTTTCTATGTACCATTGAAGCATTTTTGACTTACGACCATTTCGACTTATGACCTGGATTTGAGTCCCTAACCCTGTCGTAAGTTGGGGAAGAGCTGTACTGTACTGTACAACCCAGTTAAGTATAATTTTGTTATTGTCAGTTCACAAAGTAAGGAGGTTGCAGCCTACTTGCTGTTTCCTAAGTACCCAGTACAGTACAGGTATCTCCTGATTTACAATCATCAGTTTTACTATATTCCGCATTAACGATAATTAAGTTTTATCAACCATGATTGATTTATGCTAGCTAAATTCCGCATTAACGATAGTTAATTATCATGAGGCTAAACTTGCTGATGTGGAATGTAGAAACTGGGGAATTGCATCTTTCCCTTCTCTTGACAAATCCAAGATGGTCAATATATGCAGAAACTGCTTTCCCATCCTTCGTGCGGGGTCACCTATCCACTCGCCGTCTCATGGCCAACCTGCACAGTACAGTCCCACACCTTTTTTTAATGTGATTGTACCTGCCCTGGATCATGTAACCAATGTTTTTGTTATTATCATTGCTTAGCCTTTTGGTCACTGTGAGAGTAGTGTGATACTTAGCCGTTATTGATGAGAGGAGTACATTAACACTTAATGAGTGTAGGATCATATTTTTTGTGTTTGGTGAGTGTTGTAATTTTTTTGTTTTACATGTCTGTGTTGGACAGGCCAGGAATGTATCTCAATGAAACTCATGTTACAAGGGTCCCGATTTATGATATTTGATTTATGTTAGGATTTTCAGGAACAGAACCCTATCATAAATAAGGGGATACCTGTAAAGTCAGAGATGCTTTTATCAATTTCTGAGAATGCATTTTTTTTACTACAATTACTGAACAATACATTTGAGTGGATTAGTCTAATTTATACTCCCGTCAGAGGTGT